AATACTAATTAACCTAATACTATACTTCAACATTCTTTTAGAAATAATTATATAGTGGTAATTTGTAATGGTGATGACTAACAATGGGGAGTGCGAGTGCCGATTCGGACAGTGATCGATGGTGATGGATAATCAATGGGTGACGATATATAGCAGTGATTGATGTTGAAAATTACAAGCAAAGAGTATATATAACTTTAAGCATGGTTAATTTTGAAGTTACTAAACGTGGGTTCCAAGGATGAACTTTAACCAAGTTTTAGTTGGGTTTCAAAAGTAGGCAAATTGTATGGTCCATTGTGACTTAATAATATAATAATATAATACTAAGAAGTTATTAATCTTGGGCTCTAAGGACAAAATTATCACTTGATCTTTAACTTCATAAAGGTATTTAAAATTTAAAGGTTGAAGCTAGTCAATAATATGAAACTTTTTTCCTTTTCATTTTCTTGGGTCAACCAAATTCATAATGATAAATTGTTTGATAATTGAATGCAATATATTCAAGAAAAAGAGAGGAAAAAATGATGCCATCATATACTTAAATTCAATAGTAGCAATAATAACAACAATAATTATCATCAAATGACTAGCAAATTAAAGAAAAAATTTAAATATCCCGTTTGTTCAATATAACTAAGATATATATATATATATATATATATATACTATTTATTTCTATCTTTTTCTTTTTGGTTGTAGAACTCAATAAAAGAAGTGAAATTAAATAATAAATCATATCCTTCAAAAACTCTCAATAATTGATCGATTACTTGCTCAACAAGAAATCTCCATGGATCATTTGCAATATCGAAGCTCCAATGATATTTGTCTTTCCAATCTAAGTTGTCTTCTAAAATTAGCAATAAACATCTCTGCTCTCTGATCAACGTCCTTTTCATCATCATCATTATTGCGAGCAATATTACTTTTGGTTTTTTGAATGCAATGTGTAGAAGGACCTTCTTGTTCTTCAAATTGATAATCTATGTCGCGAATTGCATCGTATAACGAGCTCTTAGACTTCTTGAATAACTTTATAGGATGTTTTCTTTGAAAACTTAGGATTCTTGAAGTTAATTTCCATTTGTGTATTTTTGAGCCAAGTAGAAAAGTTATCTTCATGGTTGCTTTGCTCATTAGTGACTTTAATAATGACCAATTTTGTGTTTTCATGGCTAAGTATTTTTGCTAGAGAAGAGTAGTTTTTTGTGTTTTGTGTTGGAGAGAGTAGTGAGAGTTTATGAATGAATAAAGCTAAGGATGTCTCTTATATAGAGAGAGGAAGAAAGATGGGAAATAGTTTATAAATTGTGAGAGAAGTCACACGGTTTGGCCACACAAATATACATTATAAAATAAATGTTAGATTGAACCTAAATTTGACATTTCCTATTTGTCACAATAATTCTTTTACGTACATATTCAGTGAAATTCACGAGTGTAGTCTAGAGAAGGCAAAGTGTACGCAAATCTTACTCTTATCTCGTTGAATAGAGCAGTTATTTCAAAGGACATTGATTCGAGTGCAACAAATCAAAATAGTTATGAAAAAAGGAAAAGACATTAACATAAACATGATAGCTAATAAAGAAGACAGTGCAGAACATTCAAAAAAGGATTATTAACAATAACAAAATAGTGTGCTGACGAAAACATCTATAACCACATGGTGCAAATATCAAAAATAGAACACAACAAAAATAAAGTTAATATTACGATAGACATGGTGCTCCAAAATTCAAATTACCACCGAGCAAAAGGTAACAATTCAATAAGTTACTTGTTGTAAAGCTTAAGTTGATAAATAAGATACTATTAATTCTATTTTCAGAATATTCGTTTATTAGTAGTATTTTTGTTTTAAAAATAAAATTACTTAATCCAAAATTATTTATTTTATATATAAAAGATGTTACAAACAACGTGATTTGATATTTAAAGGCTATTTTATATAACATTTTGAGGAAATCTGCTTGACTTTTTGAATATACTAAATCCATCCATTACATACATATATACATATATATAAGTGGGGATACCAGGCAGGTCATGATCGACATGCCTGGCAGCTACCCATATATTCAATTTCTTTTCTTTTGTTTTAATTTATTTGTCTTATATTTAATTTTCTTTCTTTCGTTTTGATTTGTTTGTCTTATTTTTTTAATTTTTATATATTTAAAAATTACGGAATAAAGACTACTATAAATCATGATAATTGAAAACTTCAATTATTTTAATTCGATTGCTTATAAAAAAATCGATTCGTTCATAAAATTAATCTATTTTACTAATATATAAGTGGGGATACCATGCATGTCGAGGTTGACATGCCTACTTGACAGCCACCCATATATTTAATTTCTTTTCTTTCGTTTTAATTTGTTTGTCTTATTTTTTAATTGTATATATATTTAAAAATTACGTATAAATACTATAAATCATGATAATTGAAAACTTCAATTATTTTAATTCGATTACTTATAAAAAAATCGATTCATTCATAAAATTAATCTATTTTACTAATATATAAGTGGGGATACCATGCATGTCGAGGTTGACATGCCTACTTGACAGCCACCCATATATTTAATTTCTTTTCTTTCGTTTCAATTTGTTTGTCTTATTTTTAATTTTTTATATATTTAAAAATTACATATAAATACTATAAATCATGATAATTGAAAATTTCAATATTTTCTAAAAAACATATAAATAATTCGATTGCTTATAAAAAAAATCGATTCATTCATAAAATTAATCAATTCATGTCACATAAAATGGGACAAAATAGATAGTATGTATTATTTAATTTGGAAACTACATAAAAAATGTTGTAAATCTCAATAATTAACAACATTTGATTGACTCTTGAAATTCTATCTATGCTACATACATTGGGACAAAAGAAGTAACATACATGATTTAAAAATTACATAAAAAGTACTATAAATTACAATCATTAACAACTTTAAATATTTAAAAATCATATTAAAATTTAATTGACTCTATAAATTTTATCTATATCACACAAAGTGAAACAAAAAAAAAAGATATTGGGCCATGCTAGCACGGGCACTTGTGTTTAGTAGTATATATAAGATATAAAATAAGTAATAAAGATAAGAGCTGTAATAACACATTTGTAGAGTAGAACTTTTTTTTCTTTTAAGGAAATTCGTCATAATAAATTAATAATATAACTAGTCAAAGTAATGTTATGAACTTCATTTTCTTTTTCATCGTGATAATCTAATAAATGACTAGTATGTTATCAAAATAATAGTCACAGGAATTTCAAACAAAGTACCATGTAACTACTCAGTTGTGTGATAGACATACTAATGATTTTACATTGACTTGTGAGTTGTGACCTATTCAACCAAGCTTTTAAAATCTGTCAAACTATTTTAAAAATACATTTAACGAATAATAGTTTGTATAACTAATCAATTGAAAAATAACTTTCGTCGATATTAAAGACGTACCACTGACTAGCAAAGTTAAAGAGTGACGATTCACAGATATGCAATGAGATGTGCTTGATGTAATGACACAACGAATAGTTTTTCTACACAAATATATATTGTATAGTTGAAAAACCTAAATATTATACTTCAAACATCAAAAGTAGTAGTTTGTATCAAAAGGGAAATAGAAGAATTTCCCTCTTTACTCAAAACATAATATCTGACAACTGAAAATTGGTGTGAAATCACAAACCTGATGACTGAGATGAGGTTACCATAAGTAATAAACATATTTCGAAGGTAAAGTTGCTTGAAAGTTTCAAGCCATTTGAATACAAAATAATATCATAGTACGCACTCAAAGCTCTAGCAAGCAGGCAATTTGAGAAGATGGAGGGGGGTGGTCAATGAGATGTCGCTTTAACAACTTGAAGCTAGCAAAATCAAGCCGCAGGTGTTGTGGAAGGAGAAAACCGGGTACGAAGCAAGTAAAGCTCAATGATGTTTCCCATGGAGTAAGAGCAAGTTCATTGATCAAAAGCAGAGCAACAAGGTTCCTGCTAATATGCAATGAACCAATCTAAAACAGGTGCTTCAAATGACGATTGATGTAGACTCTCAGATGAAATTCACCCTCTTCTAAAATTTTAAAGCAACGACGACACTTCACTGAAAACTACAAGTCGAGTAGAGCAAAATTTTGAAAAAGAAAATCATGAACCATTTTTGTCTCCAGCAGAAAGCAAAATAGAGAAACAGATTTTGCAATACAATACAAAATTTTAAGGAAATAAAAGGGAAGGTTCAAAAAGGGAAGCGAAGTATAACACGGGTCTTTACTTGGTTTCACACCAATCTCATGCAAATCTTTCAAAATTTTGAGTTTTAATAGGTTGCAAGGCCACTTTATAAAAAGGAAAACATCAAAATATGTACGGATAAGTACAGAGATGAAAGGAAATATTTTGATGAAATATTGTTCACTTCTCCTCCAATGACGGGAGAGATGATGATGGAAAAAAGATTTTGATAAAAGAATATGATGAAAGTAAAAGGCACAGAAAAATAGTTTAAAATGGCATAAAATGATAAGCAAATAATTGATTTTAAAATAAGAGGCAAAGGGAATCACAGGACCTAGGATGTTACATGCAACCCTTGAAGCCATGAACTTCCACGAGTAAGCTTTCAGATACCGGAACAATGACCTTGCTGATGTGGCGATCAATTGTTTAACAAGAATGTGAGTTTCTCAACCTCTCTGTAACAGACTAGGTACCTGCCATATGACTGTGATGCCATTCATCATCCTTAATATCTACTTTTAATATACCACTACACTTTGAGGTGAGGCGTGTCATAGCAGCAGAGATTCAATCAAACAGAAGAGCATCTAGTGATGTAGCTAGCTGGGATCCACAATCATTGAAATTGAAGATCCCACAGCAGGGCAGTGAAGAACGAAACCACAGAGTGTGGGAGCAGAAAACCAACGAAGCAGAGTACCGTGAAGACACCTCGATACAAGAAAACAAAAGTAAATTTTTAGCAGCATTCTTTAGGATATTTCTTTTCTAAAGATAATAGACGCCATAAAGTACAAAAGGTCTATGTCCCTAACATAATGGTTCTTAAAAAGGGAAAAAGTTGAGAAATTAAAAAAACACACTTATAATATCATATGAAAATTAAAGCCGTTGAAGTTGAGGGCATGGCCTCACTTACACAGCTGTGATCAAGTCAAGCATAGTAACACACACATCGAAAAACTCCTGAATGAGACAAGTAATCAACTTCTCCGTTCAGCTCCTGCTTCTGATTCGGTCCCTGACACCATTTCTGTTTTACAAAGCAGAAGAAGGATAAGGATAACAAGAGCATTGATAAGATTCATTATCAATATGAAAGAATAAATAAACGAACATATTTGTATAGCATGAGACCAGACAATGTCCCAAAATCAAAAACCCAAAACAAGTAGGTAGGTAGCAACACTGTCAATACACAAGCTACACGAACTAAGGCATGAAACACCAAACAGATACAAAATAATTCAAATGAAGTTCCAAGAAACAATCCAAGAAACAAATCCTAATGTATATAGATATACACATTAGGATGAATCACCCAACTTTAATCAGGTACGAACACTTGAAAAAGAATGCCCAATCAACAAAGATGACACAATAAATGATGCTAAAGTTAGGAAACTCACCCATTGGAATAAGGAACTTCATCTCTTCCACGGTATGGAGATCGGCTATAACTACGGCCACGAGGTGACACGCTTCGGCGTCTGGGGGAACGTCCACGAGGACTATAACTCCTGTTTCAAAAAGGGCATTACAAGGGGGTAAAAGTGAATGTCATGTCCTACTACATATTTGAAAAGTTCTCTTCTGACCTGCGACCATAACTTGGGCTCCTCCGATATCTAGGAGGGCTACGACTTCTACGTTTACCAGGACCTGGACCTCCTCGCACTCTGCATTCACGAGCAAAATGACCAGACTCACCACACTCATAGCACTTCAAATCAGAGCCTCCAGAACGACCACGACCTCCTCCACGGCCCCCACCCCTTTCTCCTCTAGAATTATGTGAGAGCTCCACTCTCCATCCATTTTTACCTGTTTAATGTATCAGGAAAAGAAAAACTTCAAATGCTTCAGTATTTGACATATTGCCAGACTTTACAGATGCTGATGTATAGAGCAAAAAAATATAAAATTGATAATGAAGCTGCAAAGTATTTTGAAAAAGATTGAATTCGGAAAAAGGCAAGATACACGGCCATAAGTAAGATAAGAACCCATTCAGAAGGTTAAACCATATGCATGAGTAAGGGGCAATACCATCCAGATCCCTGATTGCGTCTTGTGCATCTCTACGGTCATCAAAGTCAATAAAAGCATAACCAGGTGGGCGTCTTGCAACCCAAACACTGCAAGCATTTCAATTTTTTTTCATCAAGTGCGTTATGCGCTAATCAGAAAGCATTATAAACAAAGACGGATGGAAAAACAAAGTAGTCAAATTCCATAAATGAAATAGCCCCTACTTATACTGAAGTTCTACGAATGTTTTTAGTAGCTGAATTTATATCCCAAATCCCTTCGATTTAAATCTCAACATGTCACTTTATTTGTCATTCAATAATCAGTCTTTTTTTAAAAGAATTCAAAACAACACATAGGAGTTTCAACAGATCAAAGAGCAACAAAAGCATGGATATCTGATATCTTATACCAGATCCATTCCTTAGAAATTTCTGGCAAAAGTTAGTCATGAATATAAGGAAATAATGTGCTTGCAGTACAGCTTACAACCATTACATCTAAATACTGCTTTAGAGAAACAGGTATACTCATTAAGTTAGAATAAAATTATCTTCTATCTGATAAAAAATAAAACTTAAATGCTCCTTCATGTCAGATTGTTAGTTTATGCTTCATTCATGAACTGAGAAAATATAAGCAATAGAGAATGGATGACTAGTAATCACTAATAACAGGTTCTAGTTGTAAACTAAATATTTACTTGCTCTACTCTATAAGAGTATTCAGCAGCCAATTACTAAAAAATTTGCACATCCTATTTTAAAGAGGTCAACAAGGCATACAGATCAAAAATACAAATGTAGTGTAGAATTTGCTTTACCTTCTTATAACTCCAAAGACACGGAATTCATCTTCTAGTTCTCTTTCAGTGACCCTAGGATCAAGATTTCCAACATACACTCTTGACATCTCGGAATAATAACCTATACAGGAATACACACTTTGGTCAGACACATATATATATATATATATATATATATATATATAAAAAAGTTAAATATTCATAAGGTAATTATAAGAAATTGAATGGTACCGTGTCTGGAATATGCCAAAATCATCAAAAACAAAAAGTTATTTTCAACTCTGTTTTCTTGGTAGCACTGTAGTATACTTAAATTATTAAGGATTTATGCTGTATATGCTGATGATTGCAATATCTGAAAACAATCTGTCTATCCTATTTCACTAAAAACACTAATCTACAGTTGTATGAAAGTGTGTAAAAATAGTTTTACTACAAGTGACTAAGAACTAAACTCCATCATCAATTATTCTTTATGGCGAATACTACGCACTTTGGAATACTATTTTTTTAAGAAGTAGATATATATATTTTATGTTTTAAATTATATAAAAAAGGTGAGGCCACCTATTAAAACTGCTTTCACTATGCAACAACAGCATACTCAGTGTATGCAACCTCACACCTAACTTCTGAAGGCCGAGAGGTTCTTTCCGATAGACATTCAGGTCGACTAAAGCATATACATAACACATATGAAAAGGAAATACATCAGTAAAGAAGTCATGCTAAAAATAAAGAAGAAGAAAACGGTAGCAACAACAAACAATTACAAGAAAAGACATTAACTAATGAGTTCAACAAAACATTATATACATCTACAAACCACAAAAAAGATGATCTTTTTCATATTTTTATTCCCAAAAGGAGTAGGGAAACGGAAATGGCGAAGCAGATTACACCGACGGGAATCGAAAACCTTGCCAACAAGCTGAAAATTCAGGTAGTCAACTAATTGAGCTACTTAAATTCTAGTAAGATGTTCGAATTCAATAAAACGATTAATTTCTTCAATTCTATGAAATTTTTAACAAAATTAGGATTGACGGAACCGCAAAATTCAACTTATCAAACTAAAACAAGTCATAAGTTCAATATTAAACATCAGATCAAACATAAACAGATCTATACAAGTGAAAATTGAAGCAAGGAGACGGCAAACCTGAAACCCTAGTGAAGAACGCGAGAGAGAAAAACCCTAGGCCACCACTATGAAAAGGGGAAATGTTAGAGATATGAATAACTGGATTTGGAATGGGCTTGAAAGCTGTACTCATTGGGTTTAGGCCCAATAGAGCTGATACAAATTTTGGGCCTAGGCCTTTTTAGTTGTGAGGTTGATCCAACTTACTTGATACCTTTTTTATTTCGAAATTCAAATGAATTTTTTTTTGTTACTATAACTTTTTTCACATGCATTTAAATATTTTAATTGTAAAGTATTCTGATTTATAGTACTTGTTATATGTCGTTTTCAAACATGTAAATTATATTTCCAAAATTTTAAAAATTTCATGTCTGAATACTCGGTCAAACTAGAGAGATTTGATTCTCAAAATTCGAACTATACCACATAAATTGAAACAGAAGAAGTAATATTTTTTAGCTACTGTTGAAATATAATTGAGGATTAATCATAGCTCAGAGATTAGAGCGCATCGCATTTGTAACGCTATGGTCATCAATTTGCTTCCGATAGCCAATAGTTTTCCTATTCGCTTTTTTTTCATTTTTTAGATGATTGATAATGTTTCTTTGAAATTAAAGAAGATTGAAATAACATTTTCCTCCTTTTCCCAAAGCTATCAATTTGTTATAGGAACTTTCAATTATGTCAGAAAATGATTATATATAAAATAGAAGGAGTTTTTGTATATTTATCCAATTCATCTCATTCACATCATTCTTTGAAATATTATATTTTAATTTAATTTTGAAACTACTATAACTCCTATTATTTTCTGCGGTAAGAGGGGCCTTCTGATTTTGTTTTAAAGCGTCTAAGAAAAAGATAAAACATTCTAAAAATAGTTATTAAGAAAACATTTATTTATTTAACATCTCAAACAATAACATTTTCACAGGATGGGAGAAATAGAAGTGACCCAAAAAACAAAAACAAAAAAGTGAAGATTACTGACCTTCTCCCATGCAACTCATGAACAGACCCATTATATTTTCCACTATGAACAAGCAAAAGTTTCTCTAGTATATATAAGGTTTAAGAGAAAGAAATACAAGTGAGGAGAGGATGGAATTACCATCGAAAGATATAGTGCAGTGGATAAGGTTGCTTCTTATTTAATCAGAAGTCTTAAGTTTGAATCCTTAGTATTTAAAAAATCCTTGATAGAAAGTGTTTCCCCTTGAAAGGGGTCTTATGTTGAACGAATTTGAATTAATCGAACTTCAATACAGATATCGAACACCAATATAAATAAAATAAAAATGAATAAGGGATTGAATTGAATTTGATTCTATCTTGTTTGTTTAATTGTCTAGGTGTGATGGCTACTGCAACCTATATTTTTTCAGCTAGCATCTGATTCCTAACTTTCACCAATCCTATCGAATATTTTGTTTCGTTCAAATATAATATTGTTAGTTAGAGGTGAAATCAGATTTTTTTTTAAAGATATTCAATATCAAATATTTATTATGTATAACAATAATATATTAAAGGAAATTGCAATAGACTTTTTGAAATTTATATCATACCAATAATTTTGATTATCATATTTTATATAAGTGAAATTTGATTTTTTGAAGTCGTCCAAATCATTCGATTTTTCTTCAATATCTATATGCTTACTTAGGTGTGTGTTTTTGTCACTTAGAAAAAATATCACAAGTAAAACTTGGGACATAATGGATATCATGCGTACTTATTTGAGAAACTCATATAAACAATTTGGGATCATCTAGAGGTGATTTGAGTTGATCGGTAATTGAAAAATAAATCAATTTATTGAGAGGATGAACTACAACAATATATGTGCATATATATACAATATCGTTACATTACAAATATATTCCATCATTTAAAAGACTCAAAACAATCAAAAGAAGTTCATATTTAAAATTTCGGATCATCTCAAGGAAATTTGAGTTGGTAAAGATTGAAAAAAACACTTTATTAGGACTTAAGGTATCCCATTGAAACAAGATTTAGTTCAAGCATCTCAACAAAATATTCTGATTGTCAATACAGAAAACATCTCGCGTTAACATAGAACTCGAGAAAGAGTGAATAAGGTGTTTGGGGGTAGGCAAGCACACGTGATTACAAGTTACAAGCCATAATCAGTTTAGTTGGCTGCTTGCTCTCGAATTGGCTCAAGCAGTAGTACTATTGTGTATTCTACTCCCGTGACTCCTCCATAGACGACAGAGACACCTACGAGCAGAGGCGGAGCTAGGTGGAGGTTCATGGGTTCGAACGAATCCATTAATCATAGATCATATATTTGTATTAGAAAATTAAATAAATATATATGTATATTAACTTGTGAACTCCCTACAAAAATTGATTGACAACTCAATGGTAAGAAAATATGGTGAAAATGCTTTTTACACTAATATTGTGGATTCGAACCCCACTATCAATAAAAAAGAATTCTTTTCCTTTTTTAAAAGAAGCATGTTTTGCAGTTTCAATTTGTATGATATAGTTTTAAAAAAATTATTTAATAAAAAAAAATTGTAGAAAAGGGATTAAAGACAAAGGAGTTAAAGCTGTTGATCAAATTCATTTCCTCTAAAGCTAAAAAGCAAGGTCATAAATTAGAATTAGACTTTGTAATAAACATCTAATTCAATTGACTTAAATTCCTTTTAGAAGGGTTTGAACTCTGAATTAGGTGGATTTAATCAGAATTACAACTTATGAATCTGTAAATTATTTTTTGTTTAGTTGGATAAGCAAGTGCTGAGTACAGTATTTACTATTATGCACAAAATATTTTATATTAACAGGTCCATCAAAAGGTTGCATTCTAAAAAGTGTGATATAGTAATTGAGGTCAACTTTTAATGCACTCACAAATATACATGATCGTTCAAGTAATATAGACCTATGAAATCCACATATAGTATCCAAAACATCACAATTGAGACAAATGTTTAAGTAAGCAATAGAAGATTTCTGGTTGTTGGAGTATAATTTACATCTAAGTTGATTTTTCTCCATATTTTTTCATGCAATACATCTAATCACATGTTTTAGCTCATTATAAAAAAAAAATATGCATCAAATGCAAGATAATGAACCATTATCATTCTCAAAATAAGGTGAAATGTGGATAAAATATGACAAATAGGTGTACAAAAACACCCAAGATCATAAAGACATTCAAATTTTGTGGTCATAATTTACATTCTCAACTTGTTTATCCTTAGGAAGGGAAAAATATTATTAGGAATGTTGTCCCCAGAAATAGACCCTCCAATGCGCAAAATCAAATTTAATCCGACAAAAAATTTAAAAAAAACTCATTTACTACTTCGAGGCAAGATTGCAGAGTCTACTTCAGTCAGATTTATTGTTTACTTTTCCAATTTGTATACCTATATTATATACATATTATATATGAATTATACATCTATCAGTTATTTTTAGTTTAAGCTATTGAATGAACAACTATTTAGTTTTTTCAAAAACATAAATAAAATTAGAACACAACTCAAACCTTTGTAATAACAAGAGAACGTTGTTCGAATGGTAAACTCCTCGTCTCCAATCCTAAGATTGTAAGTACAAGTCACCGAAAAAAACAAAAAGAGTAAAAACTCTAAAAAGGATAAAAAAAAAAAAAAAAAAGCTTTACAATATTCTTTTCACTAAAAGTTCTCAAAAACAACCCAACATACAAGATCAAAGAAATAATAGCATCACTTAGATAAGATACCACATAGTTACATGAATTACATATAATAATACCTATAGAAAAGACAAATAAAATTTATGACAATGTTTCACTTAATTTGCTGAACTCACTTGATCATCAAAATTCTTCAAATTTCCTTTAGAATTCTTCTCAAATCTCTTAATTCTAAAATGCATCAACTCCACATCTTTTGTTTCTCCATCTATAACAAGATCACTTAATATTTTCCCCACAATTGGTCCCATTTTGAACCCATGCCCAGAAAATCCACCACCAACCACAACATCATCTCCAAACTCTCCACCAAGAAAATCAATGACAAAATCCTCATCTGGTGTCACCGAGTACATACACGACTGCGTCACGACCGGCCTCGTTGAATCAACGAGGTCTCCGAATTTCTCCTGGATCCACTTCTTGAGTGGATCCAGACTCTGTGTGGGCTCCCACGTCCTATCAGTAGGCTCACAGGGGCGTCCACCATGTATCGGGATTTTAATCAATCCCGGATACTCGAGTGACGGTGTGCCGTATATGTACGGCTCACCGTAACTAGCGAAAGTTGGAAAACCATTTCCAATAGTGAATTTTGACTCATACCCTTTTTTAATCTTCCAATAAAGTACAGTTGTCTCCAATGGTTGAATTGGAATTACAATTCCTGTTATATTTCTAACTAATTTATTCATCCATGGACCAACAGTAACAACACATTTTTTTCCACTAAATTTTTCTCCATTTTTCGCGATAACCAAAACACCCCCTGTTAAACTATCCTTCTTGATATCAACAACTTCCATGTTATCTTTCAAAAAAGCTCCATTCTTGATCGCAAGTGTTTGAAACATCGAAACAGCTTTCGTTGGTTTAATAACACCACCATACTCTGTAACAACACCAATCCAATTATCAGGTAATTGAATCAAATCATCGAATTCTTGAAACATCGTGTTACGATCAATAACACGAACAGGGATCGAGTTTTTGTTGCAGCTAGAAATGACAGCTTTAAGTGCTTTGCTGTTAGAAGGTCCTATATCGAGTTGTGGAGTTTTGAAGTAGACTTTGTATCCAATTTGTTCTTCAGCATCTCTCCAAAGGGTCTCGGATTTTAAGACCATTTTCGGGTAGTAGTCTTCGGGGTAAGTGGCTCGTATGGTTCTTGATTCGCCATGGGAAGAACCAAGATGGTGCAAGAAATCGAATTGTTCTAAAAGTAGTGTCTTTTGATTACGTTTTGATGTTTGATAAGCTGTGCAACTACCCATTATACCAGCACCAATGACGATTACATCGAAAATTTCTATTGATTTCTCCATTTTTTTTCTCTTTTTTGTTTGTGTTTGCTCTGTTTTTTGTGTTGGAGATGGAACAGGGGAGATGAGTTTTTGGAGTTGTGGAGTAAGCATTAGGAGAGAATGGCTATGTTTTTAAAGGATTAAATTCCATGTATATAATAGCATATGTTACGATTTTGCCCTCATTTTTTTTCCATATTTGAGTTTTACTCAGGGCCGGCTCTTGCCTATAAAATTTTAGGCATTTGCCTGAGGCCCCTAATTTTTTGGGGGCCTCAAATTTTTATAAATAAAAAATTATGTATCTTAACCCCATTCAAATAGAAGAAATTAAGAAAATATTATTTTGGATTCTTACATTTTCTTCGTTAACACTCACATTATTTATCCTTTGTAACTCTTTTTGCACTCTATTTCTTCAAATCTTTGATAGTTAGAGTAATACACTCTCAAAAATATGAATCAATAGTCGAAAAGTGTTGAACAAAGTGCATTACAATTTTTTTTAAAAATTTATTTGTTAATTTTCATATTAAAGTAGGTATACCAAGTTATCAACTTTTTGAATCAAATTCTATGATTTTAACTCTTATCTTTAAAGTTTATCAACTTATTATTTATAAAATTGTGTTAATAATTCATATAATAATTGTCTCAATAAATGGATGTTTTTCAATGTTGAATTGATAAAATCTTACTTAAAACTAATAATTAAAAAAAAAATGTTTTGAAAAATCATTTATATAAAAGATATTAAGTAGTAATTTACGTCTAGAAATTTAGAAAAATAAATAGATATAGATAAAATTTATATAGATTTTAAGCCTCTAATAAAAATTTCGCCTTAGGCCACAAATTATGTTGAGCCGCCCCTGATTTTACTTTTCAGAAAGAAAAGTTAAAGCATTATAATATGCAATTGTTTTTACTTTCCTGAAAAGAATTAAAAAAAAAATTCTCTTCTATATTTGGTTATTTTTTCTTCAAAGATAGCTCATACTAAAAAGTCTTTTGATACAAATCCTAATCGTTGTGCTCTGAAATGAAGAATAATCTTGTCGTATAATGACAAACTAAATAAATAAAGATAAACTCGTTATATAAAATATTTGAAAACATATTCCACACACATATATATATATATATTGCACTAAGAAAGTCAACTTAAGGATGACCACTAATCCTTTAATTAAGAAAGGTATAATGTATAACATAATATAAGTGATATCATAATAC